TGTGTGTGTGTGTGTGTGTGTGTGTGTGTGTATATATATATATACACACACACACACACACACACACACACACATATATATATATATATATATAATATGGATGATGCACTACTTTGGGTATATAATTAACATGCTTGGTATTGCTGGTGCACAAAAATATAGCTAATAAAAAGTAAACAAACAAGTATAATAAATTTTTAAATATTATAAAACATACTAATATAATTACAGTGATTTGCAAAAGTAGGGACAAACTTTTTTTAAATTTTAAGTAACTCTGTTTTTGTAGTTTTGACTTTCTTGTTTCAACACTTTTTGTAGCATTAAAACATTCTATGTTTTTATAGCTAGCTAGGTTACATATACATCGATCCCTATTTCTCTTTATAAAATTTATAAATTTTCTGTATTAATTATACTTGTATCTCTAAGAGTGCATGATCCTTTTTTTTTGAACTTACAGAGATATAGTACTCATCTTTCCAGCATAATTGTTACAATGTTATCTGTCCCTTCCTTGAGGAAGCTTCCACATAGTAGCTTATAGAATGAAAACCCTTGTATGTGATTTGATATCATTCCAAGTTAAGGATATGTAAGAATTTATGCCCCTTTTATGGAGTAAATGTTGCAGGTTTTTCAAGTAATTCTTTCCTACATCCTCTTTTTTTTTCTTCTCATCATTTAAAAAAAAAATATCTATGTCTGTGTATATTTATGTGTGTGATATGTTTCAGATAGCTTATTTCAGATCTTTAGAGAAAAACTGTACAAAAGTAGGTTAAATTCTGCTTAATTTTGTCTTCTTTTTGTCTTTCTTTTCCCCAAACCTTGTTAATACAATATGTTAAGCAACAAACTGTAAATTACAGCATTTATCATAATTAGGTTTCAAGTTTTGAGTACAAACCAGTTAATAATATGACCATGATAATGATAATTTTTTTAGTTTTGATAATTGTTAAAATTAATTTGCAATTAATGTAAGAAAGGGTAATAAAATATTTTTTTTTTTTTTGGATATTGATTCCTCTTTTTTCTATTTTTGGAATCAACATTATTTTCCCTTTTGCAAATCTGCTGGAATAGTTGAATTCACATCTTTCCACAAAAAAAGGTTTAACCTGGTATCTGACTACATAAAATAGATACACTGTTATCTGTTTTTTAGATATTTATTTCTGAACTTTCAGCTTAGTTAAACCTCTTACAATTTTGTTTTATGTTTTTCTGAATTTGTAGGCATTATTTTCGCTGTAAAGAAGGAAAAGAACAAGGTGGACTTTGGTGTGGATACAAGAATGTTAAAGATCTGTCTAAAGACGAGGTAAGCATAAAATAATAAAAATTTGTTAGGGTATCTCTTTAGAAATCATGTGGGAGCAAAATTATAAGAAATTGACATGGATTCAATGTTTATAATTCTGGCTAGATACTGGTAATATACAAAATGATTATCAGACATTGATATACACAAATCAGGGAATAATTTTTCAAATATTTGTGCACAAAATAATTTTACATAATGGTTGGTAAAAATTGCATAGCACTTATTAGCAGTCCCAAAATAAAATCAGGCATTGTTCTAAAATTGAAAAAAAAATTAGGCTGTAATTTAGGCCTAACTTCTTAAAATGTGTTTTTATCCAGCAATATTAAAAACATCTGCATCCTGACACAAAATTGTTATTGTGCACATGAGTGAAACTACCATGAATGAGGCCTACTTCACAAATCAATCGATTTTATAACAAATCTTCTGCTTTTGTTTTTTAATAGGTTTTAATAATAACTGATTTTGTATCACAATACTCTTCAAATGTATGTCTTCTTGGCATTGGTAAGATTTACAGGCTGTGAGTTTTGTGTCAAGTTCTAGACATTTGTACATTTAACATCACTAAATTGAAAGAATATTTTGAAACATCTCGGATTCAAGTTGCACGTGCAACACAAATCAGTACCAAAAGCTTAGCAATCATCCAGCATTGAAAACAAAAGCCAGTTAATCAACATCATTCCCAGCAAATATAACAGAAAAAGGAATTTTAAATCTTAAAAATGCATTTCAGTGTTTTTATTGGAATTACTTTAAATTTTTGATATAAGGTGGCATATTTGCCAAATGAACAGTTGTGGCAAAGTTTATGCTAAGTAAGGATAAGAATGAATTGGAAATAGGGCTTATTTTGATCACAAAGTACAGTGCAATACTATACAGATTATGGAGGTGCAGGCTTTGGTTCAGCAGGAGTTAGGTTCCTACACGGGGCCTGGTTCTTCATCTTCTCCATGGGAGGTGGTGCGTGCTGACAATAAGGGGTATGCGGATGAGGAATTTGACCATGTTTTTTGTTTGCTGTGCCTTCTTTTTAGGCAACAATGGAGGATGTTTGACCTTCATGGTCATTCCTACAGTTGAATACTCAGGTTTGTGATACTTTTAACTTTCTCCTCTGTCTTATTATTCATCTTATTCCCTATTAAGTGAGCTCCTTTCTTCAGATTATTTGGTGTTTTTTCCCTTCCCCAGATATAGAGGTTCATGTTCAAAGATTTTTGGGTTTTGGTATGCCTCACCTCCCTTGTGTTTCTGAGCAACATGCTTTGGTCTTTCATCATTCTCCAAGTCTGTATTTGAATTGTCAATATTTGAGCCCTCTTTTACCTCTATGGGGTCCTAACCCTGAGGCTACTGTCTTTTTTTGTCTCAGGCCCAATTTTTGAGAATTCGCCTCACTTCTAATCATGTTTTGTGTTACCTCTCTTCAATGCACCTGTTATCAGAGGCTTTTTGCCTTTCTCCTGATGATTTTTTGAAGGAACTCAGTTCTCTATTGTGGTAGACTTTGGCTAGACATTCCTTGTCTACCCTTTCATTCCTTACATGACTTGTTTGTTGTTGGGGAGAAACACACTATTTTGGGGAGTTTGCCTCCCTCGTTCTTCCCTTTTGGACTTACAGGTAGCTCCTTTTTTGAGTGATACTGTTTTTGGGAGTCACCATGATTCTTTGGAGTCCTGGATTCATGTGGCCAGGTTACATATTTCTCTCTGTTCCTTGGTGAATCATTTATCCCAGCCTTCCACTTCATTTTTTCCTGATTCTACAGTTGTTTCACATCCTTCCAAGTCCACACTTCATCCTTTACCAGTGTCTAGTCTTTCTCGCCTTTATCCTTTTGTCAATTGCATATGTTGAGAGTGCTGGCAACAGTATCGGTGACTACCCTGAGGATTCAAGTCCTGTAGAGGCCAGGCTCCACTCCTTCATGGAGGTTTGGAGAACATTTTCTACAGCTCAGTGGGTTCTCCAGGTTTTAGCCTAAGATATTTCTCTTCACTTCAGGTCTACTCTCTCCCTTTCTTCTTCCCCTATTCCATTCCCTCTTCCAAATGATCTGATTTCTTGCATTTGACTTTCTGTGTCAGAGCTTCAGCTCAAAGATGCTATCAAACCAGTATTTCCAGTTTCTCCAGGTTTTTATTCTTGACTGTTTGTCATCCTTAAAAACACTGGAGATTGGAGACCAGTCATAGATCTGTTCTGTCTCAATCAGTTTCTGGAACCTCCTCATTTCACCATGGAATCCTTTCTGTCCCTTTGTTGGGTTTTCACTGTGGGTTTGTAGATGACCAAATTTGATGTAGCAGATGATTAACTTCACATGCTCATATCTCCCTCCTCCCATCGATTTCTTCGGTTTGTTTATGAGGGATGTGTTTTCAGGGCCCTTCCGTTTGGGTTTGCCATGGCACCTTACGTCTTTTTTGGATTGTCCACACTTTTTGCTCACCATCTCCATTCTTTAGGTCTCAGTACTCATCATTATATGGATGACTGGTTTCTTCTGGCTCCATCCTTTGCAGCATCTGTAATATATATTCATTTACTCCTCCAGGAGGTGGCAAGGGTAGGTTGGTTGATCAAGTTAGAGATATCAGTTCTTTCTGCCTCTCAGTATCTCATTCATTTGGGTATATTCTTCAGTTCATGTCACAGTTAGGCACAGCCATCTGTCCTTCCTATTTGGGATTTGGAGAGATTGATAGTCAAGTCTATATCCTCTGCTTCTCTTCCTGCTCAAGAGGTTCGTCTCTTTTTGGGGATGCTGGCTTCTTTGGAAGCACTTATTCCTCTTGGGGCTTGTGCACATGCATTCTCTTCAATGGGAACTGTGAGCTCAATGGAATTTCCTCTTGGATTCTTTAGATTTTCATGTCATTCTTCCAGTTTCTATGCAGACAGATCTTACTTGGTGGTTGAACAGAACCAATATTATGGTTGGTGTTCCTCTTCCACCCCTTCATCCTGGAGAAGCATCTATTCACAGTTGCTTCTCTTGTGGGTTGGGGTGCATCTCTAGATGTACGGTAAATCTCTGGGATTTGGTCTTCTGAGGAATCAGACCTTCATGTCAATCTTTTGGAGCTATTGGTGGTTTGTTGGGCTTTGTCTTCTTTCCTTCATCCTCTGAAGGGGAGTGTGGTTATAATACATTCCAATAACTCTTCGGAGGTCTCCTACATCAACAGACTGGGAGGTACCAAGTCCAGGCCTTTGTGTTTACAAACTTTGGAACTCCTTTTTTTGGGCTTAAGGGCACAATATTCACTTATTGGCTTGACATATCCCGGAGGCTTGAAATCTGATGGAGATTTGTTATTCCAACTACACAAAGGACTTCTTACAGCATGGTTCCTAGATCCCCAGGTTTTCCATTGGGTGTGTTCTAATATGGGTATTCCCCACATCAATACATTTGCAACTTATCTCAACACCAAACTTCTCCAGTTCCTCATTTGCAAGCATTGGATATTGATGCCTTCAGCCAAAATTGGTAGGGCCTTCCCACCTATATGTCCCATCACCAAGGTTCTCTCCTTCATCCAGTCCACTCTGTGTCAAGTATTCTTGGTAGTTCAGTATTGGCCAGCTCAATTTTGGTTCCCTCTTCTCGAACCTTTGCAAATGTCACCTCCTCTCCCTTTGTCTCTGTCACTCCTTTGTCAACCTCATTTGGACATCTTCCTCCCAGTTCCATCCTCTGGCTACATGCTTGGCTTTTGTCAGGTCCTTCACCAGATGTATATGGTCTGATACAGCATGTTGCTTCTCTTCTTTCATGTTCTGTCAGTTCCTCTACTATGTCAGTTTACCAATGATGTTGGTCTACTTTGCATCGTTGGTCTATCAGACATGGTTTCAGTCCTTTATGTCCTACTGTGCCCTATCTTTCTCAGTTGTTGCTTCTCTTCTTTCATATTCTGTTAGTTCCTCTACTGTGTCAGTTTACCAATGATGTTGGTCTACTTTGCATCGTTGGTCTATCAGACGTGGTTTCAGTCCTTTATGTCCTACTGTGCCTCATCTTTCTCAGTTGCTGCTTCTCTTCTTTCGTGTTCTGTCAGTTCCTCTACCGTGTCAGTTGACCAATGATGTTGGTCTACTTTGCATCATTGGTCTATCAGACATGGTTTCAGTCCTTTATGTCCTACTGTGCCTCATCTTTCTCAGTTTTTCTCTTGGCTTTTTGATCAAAATCTTTCAGTTTCAATGGTTTTAGGCTGTCAGTTTTCTTTGTCCAACACATTTCATATTTTTCCTCTTAATGTTGTCCTTTATGCCTTATCACTTCCTCTGTCTGATCTCTTTTCATTCTGTTCCCTCTATCTTCTTTTTTTTAAGACCTATTTTCTTCTCCTGTTGGCATCTGGTCGACATAAGTCTGATCTTTTCGCCATTCATGTTTCCCATACACTTTGTCACACTAACTATGTAAGTGCATTGTTAAGTGTATTCGTTTATATTATTCTTTTTTCATTTTTGCAGGGTCCTTCCCTTCTGTTAGTTCCTTACTAGGATCTTGTTCTGTGATGAGTGTTGCCTGGTCAGGTATGCTAAGATACTCCTATATATAGACTAAAATATGCACCTACTACATTTATGGTGTACCACATACTTTTGAGATGTGGTGTTCCACAAGATCACTAGCAGCTTACCTAGTGATGTATATTACATTATACTTATATCTCATTCCATATATGGCAGACCATCACTTATGAACTATCACAAGTGAAGCAGAAGGGGATTGCTGCTCATTCTCGCCGATCCTTTGATTGAATAAATCAGGAACAGCCTGCTTTTCAAAATAGGGTTTCACGGTTACCTATTGCACATTCTCTGATGTGTTGTTTCTCCAGACTCTCCTCCACATTTTTACTCTTCCTTCTTCAAGTGGAGTATGAGAGTCTTTATTGTTTTCCAGTTTCTACCTGCTGGAGTGGTGGACCATGGAGATTTTCCTTGAGAGTGTGAAATACATATACTAAAATTTCTCTTTCCACCCTCTTGAGAAGAGGGCAAAGCTAGGAACCTTTTCTCATCGTCCCTTCTAGTTATGGTTCCAGGTGGTCAGATGTGGGAGGTAGCCAGACCAGCCAATGCTAGATTCTCCTCGTAATATGGAGTTCGTGTTGATAGCACCCAGTTCCTCCAGTTGAGAACAGTCAATATGCCCCCCCCCCATCTTGGTAATTCTGGCTGCAGTGTTCTGTGCCTGCTCATAATACCAGCTACATTTGTTAAGGCTTAGTTGAGTATCAAACATTGCCTTGTAATTCCAAGTTCAGTTTGCCATATTTCTTGACTCCCATTATTGATGTGTAAGTTTGTCCGGTTATTGCTGTTTATTTACTTTCATCATTGTAATTCCAGTTGCTTAAAATTTGACACTCTGTTTACCTATGGTTCAGGTTTGTGTGTGTGTGTATATATATATATATATATATATATATATA